GGTGTCTCTTGCCAAGTCACACACGAGGGAAGTTCCCTCGCATGGTGTTCATGCACAAAGTCCGTCACTAGCGGCGTCCCTTGCCAAGTCACACACGAGGGAAGTTCCCTCGTCGACACGAACGGTGCTTATTGCGTGATGTCCGACTGAGGGAAGTTCCCGCTACCAGGCCGACACGAACGGTGTTCTTGCGTTAATCCGGCATCAGCGTTGTTCCTTGCCAAGTCACACACGAGGGAAGTTCCCTCGACGTCAACTAGGCCGACACCAGCGGTGTTCCAGCGCGAAGTCTGTGCAGGCCGACTAAGGCCGACACGCGCGTACTGTCAAGTCCGCCTAGAGGGAACTTCCCTCGCCGAGTCCGCCAGGAAGGGAACTTTGTCGCGATGTCTGCCACGAGAGAAGTTCAACACGAGAAGAATCCTGCTGCCAAGTTCAACACAAAGGGAAGTTTATGAAAAGTCTGCCTCGTTGGGCCTTTTCCCCAGACCAGAGGAGCCATCTTTGGTGAAGGACAAGGTGAGCTATGTTATACCATCAAGTTATGTGACGCACACACTGAGCGTTTGACTGCTGTACAAATATTATATGTCATCATACCACAATAAAGTTACTGTTTTAACACTGAACACTGTACATTACTGAGGTCAAAGCCCCTAACAACGCCTTTAAAATGGATACAACGATTACCTTCAACTCTTACATGGCTATGGCAAGATACAGTATAAGATATAGAAACCAGGCATAGGTATTTCAACATGTCAATAAACTCCAGACAGATTATTTCAATTTGTCACATGTTTACAATGTTTACAACAAAGCGTCATGACATGTTAGCTGTAATTTTTACATCTGGTATAGGTAGAATAGGTATTTGAACATGTGTACTGAATAACACAATGCGAAGACTACTCAATACATCTGTGGTCAATATTAAATGTATGAAACTTCAACTTAACAGTAGCGTGGTGCAGTCTAAATCTAGATACGACCTCGCCCTCGTCCACCTGCACGGGCACCGCATGAGCGACGTCCACGGCCTCTGTTCCCACCTCGCTTCCTCTTCTTACCCACTGTCGACCTCTGGACGAAAAACTAATGAAAATTGCATCATATGATTAGTAACAACTAAGAAGCATGACGTCCTTATTTTATCAAATAAAATTTATAACATTCCCTCCGAAAATTCCTCTCCCTCTCCTTTTTTATCTGACACAGTCTACCTAATCTCCAAGCAGATCCTATGGTCGGCAAAAAAAGAGTATCAAATTGGCCAGGCAGTATCCAATGAGCCAGAGAGGGTCCATGTGTGACCCAAGGTGGTGGGGGTAGCGAAAAAAAGGGACCATACATTAAAAACTAACGGTCGTTCCCCCACAACCTCTGCTTGTAGAGAATAGTCTACCCACTATTTATTTTTTGGAGCGCAAAATCTTACCTCGGCACTTTCCAGCTAGGCTGATACACTGAACTAGCCTGGTCAGTACTTGGACTTGGACCCGGTTTACACACAGGCAAAATCCGAGCGTACGTTCGTTTCTGTTAATACATCGACAGGGAGGGCCAGAGAACTCCCGCTGCGTCCCACACTGTCGTGACCTCAAATAACCTGCCGCCATGGACGTACTTGACCAGTTTTGTAGTTTAGTTGTAGCCTCCATGTCTCACGCAGTGTCATCGTATACTTCCTTATTTCTAACAGTCTCCATTTTGCTTCTGATCCTGTCGTAACTCCATACTCCAATTCGCGCTGTTGCGCCCTTCCGACATGCCCAGCGAACAGCAAAAAGCTCACTAACTCTAAACAATTGAAACAGAGAATCAAAGGGAGAGCAAAACGACTAAAACACGGAGAATTGAACAAGTGAACACTGCGTGGCTGGT